GGAGGGCGTAAGATAAAGAAATCCTGCTCTCCCCATGCCCCCCCCGAGCTCTTTGGGGCGCAGGCACAGCGGCACGAGACGTGGTGCCAAATGTCCCGCACCCCACGAGCTCCTCCAGCATGTCCCAAACCAGCTGCAGCTCTCCTTAATTAGTCTCCACGGGCATTAATGAATCCATTAATGAACCCCACGATATGAGGACCCCGCTTTGGGCAGCGCCAGGGGAAGATGTGCCCAATGTAGGGCCGAAGGCACGGCCCCAAACACGCCGTGGCCCCCGGCAGGAGCTCGCCGCATTCGCTCCAGGGCCCTTTTAACCCCAGCTGCTGCCTCCCAGCTTCTCCTCCCAGGCAAATGGGGCTCGAGGGTCTGAGCAGAAGGCGGCGGGGAAGATGTGAGCGCATCAAGCCGTTGCCTTGACTCAGCACTTGGCTGGCAGAAATAACTTCCCCAGCAAGAGCGGGTCGGGTAATAAAAACCTCAGCAGCGCGTCCACCCGGTTCCCTCAGCGGGGGCCGGGTTTTAAAGGCAGTTATAACAATTAATAACAGAGAGAAAAAAGGCTGAGGATGGCAACGCTGCCACTGCAAAAGGAACGTGCAGAGCAGCCACTGGGGAGGAGCTGAGAGGACTCCAGCTCGCCGCAGAGGTCGCCTTGAGAAAAAAGAGCCACGTGCCTGGTGACTTCCCCGCTGCCGTCGCAGTTTTCGAGGCAGAAATGGGGGTTAGGAGGGGTGCAGATCCAGGTGGGACTGAGCTCCAGCACTCGGAGATGTGCCAGGGGACTGCTTTTAACACAGAGAGTCCCAAATTTCTGCCCAGCTCCCTGTTTCGGCAGCAGCAGCCCGCCCTGCCAGCCTTCCAGCGGGGCTCAGAACGCACTGGAGGAAACCAAAGACGAGAAACGAAGCAAAATCTTCCTCCCAGCTCAGCGAAACCTTTCAAAGCCGCTTCTGGGGGATGATTCTCTCCCCTTGATGTACCTGGGCGAGTCCCAGATTCGGCGGAGAGGTCCCCAGACGTCGGGGAAGCAGCGCAAATCCTCCGGGCTGGTGGCTCCCAGGGGCAGACGGCACCGGCGCGGTGTCTTCGGGCAATCAAGAGGCTGGGGGAGAGCGAGAGGAGCACGAGGCAAATTCCTCCTCTTCTCCTCTGCCTCTTTTCCCTTCCTGCACCCACGGGAGGGTGCCTGGGTGCCCGCAGGATCGCCACGGATTTTAGCAAGAAGCTAAAAGGGGTATCTCGAGCGTGCGCACGCGCGGAGCTCGCCGCCTTCCCTCGGTGGCACGCACCGAAAGCTCCCAGCTGATGGAGTGACAAAACCCCTGCCTCTCCCCGAATTAATGCGAGTTTGGGACATGAAACCACACAAACGGGCTCGGAGCTCTTTAAAATAATGAACCGCCTCGGATTTTTCGCGTTCGGAAAAGCCGCGACAACGTGGCAGCCCGGGGAGGACGCCCATCAATAAAACCGAAGGTTTTCCTCAACCTCAGCACCTGCAAGTGCATTTTCCAGGCACTATTTTCTCTGAAATCGCCGTAAACCACGTGTGGTTTCTGTGTTTTATCCTATTTTTGTAGGGGAGGGCACTGCCATCGGTCTTGGGAGGAGCAAAAGCTTCGGATGGGTTCGTGCCGCGGTGCAGCCCCAGAGCTGCAGAGGTGAGGCAGGTCTCAATTCTTGCTCTCAGAGCATTTAAACAGAGATTTTCAGGGAAAAAAGAGAGAAAAAAGGGACAGCAAGCATGGATCTGCAGTGGTATCATCTCAGGAGAGCCTCCCAAGGCAAAGAAACCTCGGACTTTGCAGGGGTTTCTTCGTGGAGATGGATAAATGACAAGTACCCAAGATATGGACCGAGATCTTTTACCCCAAAAGCCACGAGGTGATGAGCAGAGCAGAGCCGGGGATGCTCTGCCTGTAAAAAGTGGTTAAGCCGCATCCTCACCCACGTTTTGGGTCTAATTCTGCCATAAATCCACGTAGAAAAGCTTCTAGATGAGACGTGAAGGTGCTTCACCCTCTGCCGAGCCACTGAGTTGGGTTTGGGGGGGAATCCCCCATGGTTCACCCTATAACTTCACCTCTTGTCCACAGAGCAGGGCTCTGTGAACGATTTGGGGAAAGGCAAAAAACAGCTGAATTTCCCCCGCAGCCGTTCCTTGAAAGGAACAAAGGGAAGGGTAAAAAGTTAAGAGGTGAAATCTCTCCCTATCGACTCTCCCCTCTGGCCCCGCAGGCAAAGAATCAGGAGCCAAACGATGTTAAAAAATGAAATTAAGAAGTCAAGCAGCATTTTCTCCCTAAATATCCAGCCCCATCCGAGTGATTGAGCACATTTACACCCCCCCCAGAATCCGGAGCATCGCTGAATTAACACCCGGAGTTAACACCCGGAGTTAACTCCCTCCCTTTTGGGTGCTAAAGGCGGGGAAAAAAGGCGTCCCGTGATGCCCAGAGCTGGCAGGACCCCATGCAAGGACATCCTAAAGGGTCTGCCTGCTTCTCCAGGAGGCTCCATATAAGCTGAGCCAGATCCTTTCCACTCTAAATACACAGATTTGGCACCCTAAACCACAGCACCACCTTATTCTGCCCTGCAGGAACGTCCCCTGGCTTGCGGCGTGTCCCAAAAATCACACCAGGGCACTGGCGCAGCACCAGCACCAGCACCTTCCCCCTCAGGAACCCTTGTGCCGTTAAACCAAAACCCAGAAAAGTCCCCAAGAGCCCACCCCATAACTCCGAGCCCTCCCTATAACTCCGAGCCCTCCCCTGCAAGCTGAGGGATGCCGAAAACAAAAGTTTGGGAGCTCTGTGCTGGATGAACGCGGCGCTGCTCTCAGTTTCCAGGGCATCTCCCGGCCAGCACCGCTTCATCCCACCAGCTGCTAAAGCGATTACGAGATGAGGGAAAGCTGAAACAGCAGCGAAATTTGGGAAGGAGGCAGAAGAATCGGGCTCGAGGTGAGTTATGGGGTGGTGCCTGCGCCTCGCCGTTCCCCTCGCCAGAAAAAATCCTGGTGGAGAAGCGTAAAGGAGAAGGAAGGGGAAAAAAAATCCAGCCGAAAGGATGCTTCACGGAGAAACAAGGGTTTAGGGGGGGTCGGGGGGTGCTGTTTGGAGTCGAGGGAGTTTTAAGCTCCAAAAATTGAACCTGAAGACTTGTAAGAACAAACTTAAGGTTTGTTTGCCCTGCTGAGAGTCACCGAACCTCCAGCACCGAGCCAGACGTTTGCTGCCTTAACCCAAGGCAATCCAGGGATGGATTCAAGGAGCTGATGGGGTAAGGATGTATTTAATTAAGCAGCAGAGCCCTTCTCCTTCGCCATCCCGCTCTTCTGCTCAAGTCCTGGTCCTGTCCAAGGCAGGCAGAGCTTTATTTTGGGGTGAGGAGCTGGCCGCAGCACGAAAGCAACGCAGGCTCCAGCTCTACCGCGGCGATCAGACTCGAGAATTAATTACAGGAGCGCTGGGAAAAAGGATTTACCCCAAAATCACTCATGGAGTCACCTGCCCTGTGAGTTATTCTCCTGCCCAGAGGCTCAAGGAGCCAGGGAAAAAGGAAAAAGAGGAAAAAAGGGCAGCAAGTTGTTTAAAATCAGGAGCCCCAAAGCTTTTTGAGGTTCCCGGGGCACGCGCCAGCCGCCGGTCCCAGTTTTGCGCAGCCCCGTCCTTTATTTGCCAAGCTCTGGGAAATCTGACCTCGTTGCTTCTGCTATTTAAAAAAAAAAAAAGAGAAATAAAAGCTTTAAAATCTGGCTGGTTTTCAGGTGATCTTTACACAGGACTGGTTACGAAAACGATTCAGGAGCAGCTCCCTTTGCAAGCCCCCTGCCTTAAATCCCGAGCAAGGTGAAGAAAGCCCTACAAAAAGCAAAGCCAGAGCTTCCCCAACAGGCAAACCCCCCGCAGCTCCGGCCAGGCCCCTCTTCCTGCTGACCACGAGGGTCTTTTGCTGCTTCTTGTGGCTCTTTCCCCATCATTTCAGAGGGAAAAACCCTTTCCTGCCAGAAAAAAAATCGCTCAGGTTTTGGAGACGCAGGGAGCAATCGCAGCCTCATCGTGCCCCCTAGAGGTCTCCTTTGCTCCAAGGTCCTCAAATACCCAGGTCCTCATCGTATCGGGGTCCTTATCGTATCAGGGTCCTCGTGTGCCGCAGCCTGCTCGAGTTTTGGCTCTGAATTTGACAAAAAAAGCAAGGAGAAAGAGGTGGGGGGACGCAAAACTTGGTTAAAAAGGCCGGGGGTGGCCACCGACCGCTCAGCGTTTCGCTCTCCGGTTGGGTTTGCTCATAAATCCCGGCCTGATCCCAACCTCTGGGGGACCCTTGAAAGCCATTTCTTGATTTTAGTGATTTTGGGGTCGAGATTTGTGCAGAATTCATCGCCCTGAGTGCTTGGGGGAGCCGGCGGCGCTGAGCTGAGCCCTGGCATTTCTACAAAACGATCCAGAAACGATGCCTGGAGGCTGCGCCCTCTCCCTCCCCGGGGCTGAACCTCCCAGGAAAGCCAACCCTATTGCATCCTTAGGGTAAAAGGAATCGGGGGGGGGGAGAAAAAAGCCACCCCCCATCACCCCCACCCCCCAAATCAGGAGGGCACGGCCCAGGGCCACCAGCTGAAGGTGGAGAAGGCAAAAATATCCCCTCCAGAGCATCCTTTTTGAGGGTGAGGACGATCTCCAGCTTCTCTCCTGGAAGAGCTGGGTGCTGTGCCCCCAGTCCTCAGCCCAGGGGAGGAGAAGAGCCCCAAGAGCTTTGCAATTCTGAAATTTAGGAGGTGATCTTTGGGGTTTCTTTGATGTAGAGGAAGAAGCTGAGTCGCTGGGAGCGAGCAGAGACCCTCAGCCAGCCCCTAACACCCCCACGGTGCAGCGGATAAAGGTGGCGCAGGGCAACGAGCCGATTCCTCCAAGCCCAAGGAGAAACGTCCAAGCCTTAAAAACCCCTCTGGACACGGAGGAGATACCAACGGGGACCCCTGATTTTGGGGGAAAACCTGCAGAAACGTGAGCATCTCCAAAGCAATCGTGAGCAAGGACTTCACCCAGAAAAAAAAAGAGGAGGGAGGAGGACCGTAGCCATAACGCCATGCCCTCAATCAGCTCCTGCAGCTAATTACAACTAATTACCCCGTGCAAATTGACGGCCAGGGCTCGGGGGGCAGGCCCCAGGGAACCAGCGGAGCCAAGTGGCAAAGGGACAAGGGGATTTGGGGTGAGATTACGAGAGCAAAAAGGGGACCAAGGGAGGCGTCGGGCAGCAGAGCCGCGTTTAACGGCGCACGGCTCGAGGGCCCCGGCGGCGATCGGTGCCAGGACCCGGCCCCGTCTTTAATTTACGGTAATTGCATCTGACCCGGGACTTCGGTTACGGATTCCATGGGTGGGAGGCACTCGGAGGGAGCCTTAAAATGGGCAAGGCACCTGCGAGGGGTGCGAGAAGCTTCCTGAAGCTGCGGCGGGGAGGCCGGCGTGCCGGGCGCGTGGTGGATGCCAAGCGGGACGGCTTCTATGGGGCCTTAAAAAAAAATGTAAGCGTTGTCCCGAGCCAAGCTGGGTAAAGATAGCTCCTGCCCGCCATAAAAAACCTCGGGCTGAAGTTTCCCTTTCTGCCCCAGGTCCCTGTTTTGCCTTCTCGCCTCCTGGAGAGTCCCAAACGTCGGCCGGGCGAATCCCCCCGGGGAGAAAGGCTGAGGTTGGGAAGCGGGGTGGGAAGGGATTGGGTTACCCCACGGGGCTGGGGCTCGCTCGCAGCTGCTGTTCCCTCCCCTCGTTTTCTCCCAGGCGGTTAATTGGTAATTTTCATCACGCTGGCTGCAGGCATTCGCTGTTAGGTACAGCTGCAAAAAAAGGGAAGAGGCGGGAAGAGGGCAGGGCGAGCGGGCTGGAGACGTGTGAGGGGCACAAGTGGCACCCCCGAAGAAGGATGCTCTTGATTGTGTCTGCAACCCCGATGCTATTTCAGCAACAAAAATAATAACAAGGCAATAATCCGGGATGTTCCCTTCCCCTCTCCCTTCTCTCTCCACCTACATGTGCCCAAGAATCCTCAAAAAGACCAGAAAATGCTCATTTTCTTCCCTTAATCTCCATTCTTGGTATCCTCCAGGACAATTTGATGGCGGTGCTGATCCCGACGAGCTGCTGGACACCGGCTGCAGCTCTTCCCCGACCCCATTTTTGCTCTTTGAACCAGCAGAGAGGCGGCAGCGGATCTGGGAGCACACGACGGAGGAGATTTTGGCTGGGTTGGCTGCCAGAAACTTTACCCAAGCTGAAAAGGGAAAAGCCACGCTGCCAAACCGTCCCAAACCACGTAAAGGGATTGCCGTTGCACACCGCGCCCGCGTTATTGCATCCAGCCCTTATCTACGTGGCTCACCCTGCTCCAAAACCTTTATTTGAAGCTTTTAAAACGTTTTAAAAAAGGGAGAAGCTGGAGCCACGGAGAGCAGGGCTGTAAAACCGGAGGCAGGGATGCCCCTGCTAATTCTGGCCGCGTCCCGGTCCGTGCGCGACCACGGGGAACCTCACTGCCCACGCAGGGGCGAACACGTTCACCTCTTTCTTCAGCCTCGGGGATAAAAATGCGAGCAGCTGCCAGCCCCGGGAACAAATATGGGATTGTTTCAAGCAGTGACACCCAGGCTGCAAGCACGGGAGCTCCGTGGTGGACAGCCCTCGGCCACCAGCACCTGGTTTGTCTCGGCGCTCTGAATTCGGGGCACCTTTTTTAGGTAATTACCCGAATTTTTACCGCTGCGCACCCTGAAAAAGAAACCTCTGAAGTTCTCCGGTTTGGCCTGTAGCTGCTCTTAAAATCTGCTGCCACGGCCACGATCACACGAGGGGGTTTTGGGGAGCTGGTTCCTGAGCTGCTCATCCAGCGAAGGGAAATTCACAGAAAATCCCGTTTCTGGAAAAAGACTCGCTGACAGCAAAGAAAAGCCACGTTTTGGCTACCCAAACCCAAAAGTGCCCCGATTTTAGGCTGAAAAGGACAAAGTCGGCGCTGCTCCCTGCAGCCCCTCTCCCTTGCTTGTTACCAGCCCATGCCGCTTGCTTTAGGACCAGCAGCTCCCCTATAAAGGGCCTTAAAATCCTCCACTAACGCCTCTGATGAGAATTTTAGGACTAATTAACTCTTGGCCTGATTTTTCAGGGGGAAAACAGGACAGGCAGGAGCGATGCTCACCCTGGGGGGGCACAGAAAGAGCAGCCGCACACCCACGCCCAGGGGGATGCTGTGGGTCCGTGCACCCCCGACCAGCAAGGAAAGCAGGACCTGAAGGCTCGTAATTAATTCTGTGAACATCTAATTAACATTTTTCCCACCAGGAGAGCCAAAAGGGGCTCGTGGTGGTCAGCTGGTGGGTTGTGGTAGCGCCGGGACGCGGCAATCCCCTCGCTCTCGGGTTTGAGCTGCTGCTAAGGGCACGGTTCAGAGGTCAGCCCTATAATTCAGCCAAAAAGGGGGGAGCCACGGCGAGGTGCTGAATGATTTAAACCATCGTTCTCCCTCCCTTTTTTCCCCCCGGTGAAGGGAGCCACCTGTTCGCGGGGCTGGAGCCTGAGAAAACAGCCAGGAATGAGCAGAATCCCGGGGCGCCCGGCTCCTCTCCACCAACTGCGCTAAGGAAGAAGCTGCTCGGGGCTCCTGGCTTGCTCTTGGGATTAGGGTCAGAGCTCAAATTGTGTTCCCAAGGAATGGGGTTCCCAAGGAATGGGTTCCTGGGGCGCATTCCCCAGGAACGGGTTGGATAGCAGGCAGCGAGCTCCCCGGCACCGAGAGCGAGCCGGGCGCCGCAGCAGCACGGGGCCACGTGGCACGGGCAAAAAAACCCCAAGGGATTCGAGTGGAGGAGCCCGATAAGGGTTTGCTGGGGGTCAGGAAACCCTAAAATTTCCCCCAAGGTTTCCCCCAAGGTTTTTCCCTGGCCACCTCCCCATTTTCACGACCCCTTCGGTCCTACGGGGTGGAGACGCGCCAGCCCCGTGGGTACGGGGACTACAGAGAATTGCTGAGAACTGGGAAGCTTTGGCAGAAAAACGATAAATGGGAGGGGAAAAAAGGAGAAAAAAACAATAAAAAAAAAGGAAAAAGAGAAAAGAGAAGACGGCGAATCCAGCTGAAGTTGGTGAAAATCACAGAAGCACCACATAATTCTCATTATTTACGACTCCGTCTACAATTACCGGACCCTGACTGCTCCCTGCAGTGATAAAACACCCAAAGCGGGATGGCTGCGATTTGACTGCGCTTTCCTTTAATGTTTTCCCCAAAATAGGGCCCTGCCCTATTTAACATCCCCCTAAACCCTAAAAGAAGGGTTTGAGCACTCGCAAAAGGCCTCGGATCCATCACCGTGATGATGGATGGTCCCTGCCGGCCCAAAGCAAATCAAAGCCATCGCTCATTTTGAGCGCCGAGGTTGTCCCCCCTCGGGGGGCTGGGAGGATGCCTCTGCTTTCACCCGAGGTGCACCAGGAGCTCGCCAACGAGCTCCTTTTCCAGCCCACAAATGAGCTGGAAAATATATTTATTTTTATATTTTTTTTTAATGGACTTTTGCTGCTAGCGAAGCGCCCGCGCCGGGCTTTCGACGGAGAAAACTTTGCGGAGATGGCAAAAAAAAAATAATAAATAAATAGATTAAACAGTTCACACGAAACATTTCCAGAAGAAAACAAAAAGAAGAAAAAAAAAATAGAGTTGGCTTCCATTTAGGCCGGTACCTAAACCTTTTTTTTTTTTTTTTTTTTTTGATTTATTTGAAGTCAGCACTTGTGAAAGGCGGCCGCTCGGGAACGTCACCTGTCAACGCCTGCTCCCCAGGCGCACTTAGAGGGGAGCTGATGGGCACTGATGTCCCCCCCCCCCCAAGCCCGTAAATATTTCAAAGCAGAACCAATTAACACCGCCGCTGCTCCGCTGCGCTTCAGAAACAACCTTCCCTGGCTCGAATAAAGTTGAAGGAAAGCAAAGAAAGCAAAGAAACGATGAGGTTCTCGGCGCCGAAATGCTTCGACGCTTTCCCTTCTTGCTTGGACGCAGCAGGGCCACCGAGGCAAAGCAGCTCAGGGAATAAAGGACCCAAAAATAGGTCCCTGAATCCCCTACAAAGGTCCCTAAATCCCCTACAAAGGTCCTTGCATCCCCTACGCACCTCTGGCTCATCCCCTGCAAGACCCCGAGCTCCCCCAGCTCCCCATCCTCTCGTCCCCGCGTTGTCCTCTCCATCTCAAAGCCTCGCGTTGTAGGTGAAAATCCTACAGGAAACCTCTGTCCCCGAGTCAATCCGAGTCCCAAAGCTCCCAGAGGAAAGCAGTGGGGTCAGAGGGGGCTGATTTCCATTCCCAACCCACCACCCAGCAGGGAAATCCTTGGGCTCCTTACGGACCATCAGAGCAGGGGGAGATTTTGAGCCCTCACCATCTGCCTCCAATTCTTTGGTCTCCATCCACTTCCCTTTGCCATCCTCTTTGTTTTTCCCCCTCTTTTTAGCTCCCCGAGATCCCTCTGGCCCTACAGGAATAAAACCAGCAGCCAAGAAGGGAGGGAACCAGAAACAAAACCGTGGAAAGCGCACGTGGGGAGCCTGATGCACATCAGGTGTTCGGCGACATCACAACCACCTCCCAAGGACCCAACCCCACAAACCCCGTCCGTCTGCTGGTACTAGGATGCCCCAAGGCCATAAAAACAGCCGGGAGCATCAAATTATTTAAAACCCGATTTTAAAAATTGGGTTTTTATGCTGGTTTAGCTTTTGGGGTTGGAAAACAAAAAAGGATTTCTCGTCCCGGCCCCCTCCTGCCACCCAGGCGGGCAGCGGAGCACCGTGGCCAATGAGTTATTGTGCGTGAGCCGAGCCACTGAAACGGGAGGAAAACACGTTATTTGAACGTTTCTCACGGCTTTGTGCAAATTAGAGTTTCCCTCGGGTCTTCTGCGGGGTTAGGAGCTTGCAGGACCAACGAAAATATGGCAACACCCAGTGTAGGGGCACAGAGCATGGACACGGGGAAGTCCTAGTGATGGTCTGGGTGCTCTCAACGCGATCAGCTCTCTGAAAACCAAGTTCCTCTCCTCTATATTGCTGTGGCACAGCAGCTACAATCCTTTAAATACCATCTTTGGTGGTGTTTTACTCTTTTGCCAAGGTATGGAAGATTTTGGGGTTGTATATGGAAGATTTTTGGGGTTGTATAAATCTCTCTGCTCAGGGTTCGGATGCTTCCCAAACGTCTCCAAAGCACGGTCTGGGTTAGCCAGCCCCAAACTAGCCCTAAAGCTGGGTGAATTATTTAGGCTGTGAGGCTCCGGAGCTCACAGCATCTTTTCCAGGGCACCCTCAGTGCTTTTAGTCTTCAAAAAATAAAGATCCAGGGACGTCGCCTCCTGCAGCAGCAGCACAGAAGGGCTGAGGTTGGAAGGCACCTCCAGATCCTCTGGTGCCCACAGGTCCCTCAGCACCCACCTTTGCTCCCATAACACAGGCAGGAAAACTGAAGAACACCACTAAAAAAAAAGATTTACCCCATGGTCTCAAAGGGAATCAGCAAAAACAGGAATTGATAATGAAATATTCTGGCTCCTTGCCCGCTCTATGAGGTCTTTTCCTCTCCTCCAATTATTCAGGTGGCCAAAACGCCTGCTTGGGATTCAGATTTAAGGGTAGTTAGGACAGATCAGACGGTACAGAACGAGAAAAGCAATTCCCCACTTTTCTTGTCCCTGGACCGGTCCGAGGCCCCGTTTGACCCCGTTTTTTTACCCAAAAACTTCCTTGGCTTCGTTTTAAAACTTCACGCGTCTGCGCGCAGCGCAAATCAAAATCACATCCAGCACTTTTCACGCAGCTGCCACGTCCGATTATGCTCTCGGGGCCGTGTGTCAGGCGCTGTCTCATAAACCTGGGGGCTGTTTTCGTGGCAGGAGAGGCGAAATCGCAGCCCTCATCCCACCAGTGACCCGAATGTGGTGGGAGGAGGGCGGCTGGCGGAGCTGCACGAAACGCAAACAGCCCCCGAAAAGTTTCTGCCGTTCCTTCGGCGTTTTATTCCAGCCTTAAATAACGAGCGATGCCCGAGAGCGCCTCGCAGCTAGCTGCAAACGCTGCACGGAGTCCCAGTTCTACCATAAAGGTGTTATTAACGCCGCTTTCCAAAGAGGAGAGGAAAAATAAAGCCTCAATTACACGACTCGCGCGAAGCGAGCAAATTCCGGCCCGCTGCGTGAAAGCCCTGCCTGAAAATAAAGAGAGGAGTCTCCTTCAGCATCCTTTTTTCTACGTTTGCTCCTTGAAGCAGCTCAGTTTTATCTTTTTGGAGAAGCAGCAGGTGATGACTTGGAGGACTAAAATTGATTTGGTCGTTTATGGGCCAAGAGGACGGCGGCCAACGGGCACAGGAGGAGGACGAGTCCCGGAGATGAGTTTCCTGCCCCAAAACATCCCCGTGATGGGAACCAGCAGGGAGAGAAGCTGCCAAGCCTCAGCAGAGGTGCTGTTTTCCCATTACCTGGTGAAGTCAAAATCCTTTCCCAGAGCTGAAAACCCCATTTGGTTTCTGACATCCCAGGCACGAGGGCTCACACGCGCGCTCATCGGCACTGGCGACGGCCCCTGGCAGCGAAAAAAGCCAGGCTCAAATCGGGTCAGAAGAAATAATCTCACGAATAAGATACCAAGCACCTATATTAGCATGAATCCTTATTAATTCCTCTACTTTTACCTCTCCCCATCCTTCTTCTGGCTTTTTGGAAGCTGCTTTAGGGTCTAAAACCCGGAGCCTCATCGGTCTTTGCGCCATCCCTGTGCGCCACCGGGGCCGAGCCGTTGCCAACAGCTCCCCCGCGTAGGAAGGGCTAAGGAACACCCAACCAAGTGAAAATCCTCTGTCCCTACACCATCCAGCTTTCATTCATCCTCTGACAAGACCACGCTGGTGCACAAGGGCAAATTTCAAACGGGAAAGCCGCTGTAATCCTTCACCTCTGCTCAACGCGATGGGCGCCGGTGCCGGCGTGGCGTTGGCACGGCGCTGGGATTCGGCTTCCACGCTTCGGAGAGTTGGGAAGCATCTGATGGGGTGCGTCAGGAAGCCAGGGCTGAAGGAATCTGCGGTGCTGAAGCCAGGGGAGAGAAAAGGACAACGGGGTAAAGACGTACAAATCCTTCAAAGCCAGCTCTTAAAAGCCAGCTCCAGCGGGGAAGGGCGTCCTCCTTCCTTGACCACCACCAAAGCAACGATGAGCTTAACGGTGGCAGACGGGTAGCAGGGACACTGTGAAAGAAGTAGAAAAAATGGGGCCAAAGAGATTATCTGGAGGGGACGTGGAGCATCCATCATTTGGGGACTTCAAGATAAGTTTAGATGCCCACTGGATGGGAATGATGGAGATAAGTGGCTGTGCCTCAAGCTGGGAAGAGACCAGGTGGTGTCCTAGGTCCATCCCATCCTTTTTTTTTTCTTTAAACACTATTTTATGTCTTCGTATTGCCGCTCTCACTCACCAGAGAAGCCTTCCAGAAGAGTTAAAGCCTTTATTTACACGATAAGGCACAGAGGAGCGAGGAGCCGAGTCGATAAAACAAGCTGGAGAGGAGAACTCCTCCAAGCCCCGAAGCTGCCAACGAGAGGAGAGCATCCATCCTCATCGACCCGCCGCCACCTTCAGCCAACCCTCCGGCAACAGAGGGGAAAAATGAAGGGTTTTAACCTTTGGGGAGGGAGTGATGTGCAAAAACACCCTCAGCTTCCACTGGCGGAGACGCGGAGGGCTGTAAATCGGAAGGGAAACGAGAGCCCGGGCGTCACTGCTCGTGGCACCGGAGCGCTTCCAACCCCAAACAATATCACACGAGGCACTACAAGAGAGAGAAAGCACCGAAATGACAACCTGTCAGCGCTGCCATCAGCTCCAGACCTCGCAGGGAGAAAAGAGAGGAGAAAGAGAAGGGGAAATCCTCCCCCGAGAAGGATGAGTTACTTCCCTCCTGGGAGCTCGCACGAGGCAAGACAGCACGGGCTCGTTCACCTCTTCGATCAAGGGTTCGCGTAACACGCTCCCGCAGACATCTCTAATTCCCGTTCGGCTCTGCTTGCTCTTCCCCTGAATCACTTTTTTTTCCTACCTCGACTACTTTCTGGTCCAGAATTCACCGAGCAAGCAAATCACCAAAAAACACCCAAGGCACGAAAGCGACTCCCGATAGCAGATAACGCCCTCGGTGCGGGAGCATCCTCCCTTTTAGGGAGACATCCTTTTTTTTTGCACCAGAAGTCATTTAAACGTCAAAAGAGGGGAAATATGTCAATCTTGACAGGCTATCAGGCGGCTTAGTGAGAAGTTTTTAAGAGCTTATTGACAACAGGTCCACTTCTGCCACGGCCACGCCGCTCCATTAAGCAACCCGGCCACTCCGCTCCCATGAATATTTCAAAGAGAAAGAGCGAAGCATTAGGGCAGCCACGCAGCTCGGGATGTGCTCTAACCTCTTCGGGAAGGACAAAGGAAGTGTCAGCGCACACAAAGTGCCCGCTGCGGTGCCCAGCCTGCTGAGGATGACGTGGAAGGGGTGAGGTCCTCGCCCCTCGTCCCCACTTTGCGTAAAACCAGCTTTTACCCCAAAAAAAATTAAGCACACGGGGCTACAAAGTGATTCCGTATCCAATAAATATTCAGGGAAATGAAATAAGGAGGAAAACGTCCCTTGGGTTTAAAGGTCAGAGCGTCTGGGAATCACGAAGGCACGGCACAAATGAAAGGAAAACTCTTTGAGCCCATCAAATGCCCAGAAAGCCTCAAAAATCTGGGACTGCGCACTGCCAGGTAAGAAATTAGAGTGAAAGTGAGGACTCTGAAGAAGAAATCAAGTTGAAATTGTGTTTCCAAACCACAGCCTGCTGCTTAGCACGAGACACGAGGGCATCTAAGCAAGAGAGCAGGGATCCCGTGTAGAAAATGTGATCCGACGCCGTCCAACTCTTTGGAAAAAGAAGCTTTCGGATGGGCTCATGAGCAGCAACCAGGAAAGCTCCTTATCATTGAATCCTTTAAAACACGGAGGAGCCAAAGAGCAGCTCCCCTGAAAGCCAAAAATGCCCAAACTGGAAAGCCTTGAAGTGGGAGAGCAAAGCTGGAAGGCACGGAGTGAAAGGAACGGAGATCGCCCCGCTCACCTCGCTCTCATCGCAGCTCAGCTTCGGAGCCCACGAGACAAGAGGAGATAAAAGGAGCTGCCCGCTTTAATATATATTAAAAAGCGCAGGAACACCCGCCAGGCTGCAGATTTACTGCCTGTCACCAGCGGAGGTTTAACGTCTTGATTTCACGCTGGTATTCTTCATTAGGTTTTTATTACCGGGCTTTGCTTGTTTCTGTCGCCGCCGTCGCGCTCAGGTGGGAACCGGAGGGGTTTTCATTCAGAAAGGGCTTCAAGCGGAGCCGGGAAACAGCCACTGATCTGGCTGATGGCACAGGAGGCAGCAAGGATGAGGGCGGCTGAGCAAAATACCCAGCCACAGCCTCACCGGGAGGATGCTGGGGTGATGTGGTGGGGATGGAGAGGGAAAAAAGCACCTGGAGATGAGCAAATCACCCCCTGTGGTCCACGCGGAGCTCCGCTCGCTTGTCCCCGTGTTTTTGGGACCATCCGAGGGCCTGGTGTGAGCTGGCATCCTCCTCAGACTCTCCCCAAAGGGATTTTTTTTAGGAATTGGAGCAGAACGAGACATTTGAAGAGGGGTGTTTTTGAGTTAGCGATGCCCGGTGAGCCCGAGGGACCGGGCTGGTTTTTACGCGCGCCTAGGAAACGAGATGGGATGAGTTCCCAAATCAAAGCTCAGTCAAATAAAAGCTCAAACTGACAACTTGGTATCGAGATCGGGATCTGTCCGCATCACACGTGGTCACAGAAAGCAGGCAACGTCCCCAAAAGCAGCCCCAGCTGCCCCATGTCACAGCCCAGCAAGCAGCAGCCCTGGTCCCAGAGATGTCCCGGAGACCAGACGTCCCCCCAAATGGCACAGGGAAGGGAAAACTGCAAAAATT